CGGGCTCTTTCAATGCTTACTGCCGCGTGGCCATCAACAAAGTCGTCACCTCCATCCACAGCATCTGCTCTTCTAACACTGTCCCATTTGATGTGGACAGGGTGGTCAAGGTAAGCAAGACAAATGTGGTTTGTTGTTGGGGAGGGGGTGGGGGTTTAAGAAAAAAAAGCTAGGGAATTTAATGGACATTCATTTGGTCTTTTAAGATCATGTGAGGGCGCTACGCATAAGCGACAGAGATGGAGACGAGGGGGCATTTCTCTCCAACTTTTTTTTCTCATCAGTTATAAATAATTCTGACCCCAACTTACGCACACACATATACTGACTTGCCTATGACCTCTATTAGGCTCTTACTTCATTTATTCCTTTCCTGCTTTATTTTCAAAAGTGCATATGATAACGACCAAAATCGTGGTACTTGTTGTTTCTAATTTTTCGTTTTATATCATAACTCCCGTTATGTAAGTCTTCAATCGTCCAACTGCGACCGCCTATTGTAAACCCTCGTTATCTTTTTGTTTTGGTTTGCTAAAATATTGACAGAAGTGACTTCATCTTTTCTATTCACTCCATAATCTATGTCTATCTCAAGAGGATGACAAGCATATTATGACACCTTTTCACTTGAAAACCTTTAAAAGGGAAACAAGCTCATGTTTTTTTTCTAGACATGCAAGTTGAGGCTGGGATTTTATGTCTTTGCAGAGTGGGTCGCTTGGGAAAGGCACAGTAGTAAAGGACTTGTCGGACGTTGATCTCGTGGCGTTTGTCAACCCGCCCCACTTGCAGCCCATCATCGATATTCCACCTGATGAATACAAGGAACAGCTCGGTAACATTCTGGAAGACATGGAGATTGCCCTCACGCAGCTAAGTAATGTGACAGCTATTAAAAAGAAGAGATGCCTGATCAACTTCAAGCTCATGAATATCGGTCCCGGACAGGGCTCTGTGGGCATTGACCTCATGACCACGGCCGACTGTCATCTGGATAATCAAGGTTTGTTAATATTATTTTGAATCGAAGTGTAACACAATGCGTCACATACTTAAAACATCATCCATAATCGTTAATGTTACCACTGAAATAATTATTCGGATTATTTGAACTGGATACGGTAATCTTTGAGACCAGTCACATTTTGATATCCCGATTATTAAACTCCAATGTGTTTATAGTTTGCACAATATAACCAGGTATGCAAACTCCTTTCTATCCCTCCAGATAATGTGAAGAAGTTGTTTGACGCTATGCTGAGACAGCAGCGAAGCGACCGGCTGTACTACTCCCCGGCCGTGATCGAGAACCAGTTGGCATTCGTCAAGGGGCAGCCGACCGCGGTAAAGGCGCTCATCCGCCTAGTCAAATATTGGTCGTATGAGTTCCTCCCAAAGGTTCTCCAGGGGTCCTACAAACTGGAGCTGATCACCATCCACTGCTGGGAGAGCGCTGGCGGGCCTTTGCGCCTCGACAAGGCACAGGGGCTGAGGGCTGTCATGCTAATGCTCAGCAATTTGTCGCAGTTGCGAGTGTACTGGACACTGCACTACGACGACGAGAGGGCAGAGGATGTGATCACTCGATTTCGAATGCGAAAGTATAAAGCAATATAAAAATTACTTTTCTTAAAGAACATACACCATTGAAATATTAGAATACCTTGATTTTAGGTAGCAATCAGCAACAGACCCCATGAGACATTAGACTGTTGTTTTTGTTTGTTTGTAATTCTCTGTCCTTGGTTGATAAGAACAGGGAGAGAAATTCTGATCTGCACATATTCAGGCATATAAATTATTCCTAAAACTTCTTCCATCGCATTGCCTCTCAGTCTGCTTTCCTTAGCTTTCCTTGGAAAATGTGATATGTGCTGCGGTATTTGTTAAGCCGCCTCCTCAAGTTTTCCTTCTCTTTGTGATTTTCGAATTTCATGTAAAAAAACAAAACAAGAAATATAATTTCGTCAGACCTTGTATTGTTAAATTGAGTATTGACCTCTTGTTATGGTCAATTTACAGCAACATTTTTTGCTGTGTATTTTTTTCCAGGCCCATTGTGTTGGACCCATCCGAGCCAACTGACAACGTCTGCAATCTCTTCAGTGAAGGGGACAACATGCGTCTGATGCGATCAGCTGCCCAGTCGGCGCTCCAATCCAGGCTCCTGCAAGGCGTTCAGGTTCGCCAGGGCTGGAACTAGTGACAAGTCTTCCCTGCGACACACCACGAGACACGCAGCTATACCCTAATCCCCTAAGCTATCTCACCCTCCAAAAGTGGCTTCTGCGGGCCCTGCCTTAAGATCAAATCAGCATAACAGGTTTTTTTTCTGAAGCGAAACAAATACTGAAATTACTGCACACGACACCAGCTTATCTTTTTTTTTTCAGGCGGGAGGGGGACATTTTTTTCCTTCTTTATTTTAACATTTAACAGGGGCGGATGTAGCTTCCAGGAAACACGGAGGGGGTGATATGAAGGGGTTAAGTGAAGGCGTGCCAAAGGTATACCCTGCTATCAAGGGGGTCTTGGGCATCAAATCAACAGTACTTCCTCCTGCATTCTAAGGCAATTTCAGAATATATTTAGGAACTTTACCATTCCATTCCATTTATTATTTTTGGCTCCATTATACTGGTATCATAGCATGGGGTGGGGTGGCCAAAAGGGAGGATGGGGGTTGTCCCCATCCCTCCTCTAGATCTGTCACTGTTTAAACAACGAGAATAAAAACCATGAGCCACAACCTATACTCATAATGAACCACACTTAATTTAACACAAATATTGATTACAAGGATTGTACTTAACACAAATTGTATAGGCCTTTACAAAAAATAATTAAATTGAATCATCAGTCGTTAAATAAATAACATCAAAGACATAGGATATATTGTCTCTTTGGAATGAGCTCTCATATAGATATAATTAATGCCTACTTATTAATTTAAAAATGATAATTATGCGCTTAATTCAAAGAGAGGAATTGAAAGTATTTTTGATGAAGTGATTTTATTTATAGAATCACAAGTTACCGTTCATGTCACATTGTGGGGCTTAATATTTATCAGCTTCAAATTTAGTACAATATAGGAAACTAATATTGTTACACCTGCATGTAGGCAATGTGTAAATAAACTCGGTTGATAGCGCTTAGCAAAACAAACGTTTACTTGCTTACTGAGTGAGAGGTCTCAAGACACCTTGACGGCAGTACATGAATAAGTGCTACACGCCGCGTCAGCTAAGAATTTCTTGACCTTCCCTTGACGAATTTCAAATAGACACTGAAACCGAAAAAGTCCTCAATTCATGCAATGGCTTAGGAGCCCCGGTTTTAATGCTTATTTGCAATTCGTCTGTTATATAATGAGCAAAACCATTCGCTCCTCCCCAGGTCATGCTCACTTCCTCGACAACGGTGTACGCGCATCCCATAACGACAAGTTTCATTTACGTTTAACACACACGATCACCGACAGCAATTTTATACCCTATTTTTATAGAACATTTCACAATTTATTGCAACAGGTAAAAAGTGTCTTGCAGAATATTGTCACTATGCCAGCTATAACTACAGTTGTGCACATGTTTGCGCTTAATTCCCAGAGGAGATTCAAGCCCGTTTAAAAAAATGGGTTCACAAATGCCATAGTAAAACACTTTTGGTTCTCGATGAGCCGCTGCAGTGCGCGAGAACCAGTAACCATTGTTGCACTGAGTTGTTCTTCGGGTGGCACAGCATGTCGCGCAGTCGTGCTTTACAAGAAAGTTTCAGATTTTGACATTATTCATACTCGGTGACCTAGTCAGTGGACAACATTAGGCTGGCTCTCTGGGTTCAGGGGGAAAAGAGGAGGACCAATGAATTAATGATGTCACGTGTCTGTAGAAAACGGGACCGCAGCGCCCTCAATGTTTGAATAGATCTCAACTCTCCCCCTCCACCACGATAAGTAGTTGGATCAGACTTTAACGTGTGTATGTGCAGAGTCACACTACAAACGTCGGATACATTCATGCATGTAATTTTTATACGACCCCACGCGCCAGCCAATCGGAGCAGCCTTTAGAAGTTGTGACGTCATTTAGAGCAGAAATTCTGCCAAAGTTGTTGATTGGTCAATGAATGTAGTTGCCATAATTGTGTAATGCAATGTCGGGTTACCGACGATACGAGCGAAGGTCAGATCAGGAGGTCAAGACGCAGTGATATTTTGCATAATCTGTACGCAGATCATAAACTACAAGATAATAGGGCTCAGAACTGAAAATTAGATCCTACTTGTATGAGTAGGATTATCATCTGGAGTATTTTAGTTGGGCTTGATAATTTTACTGTGTGTGCAGTATGAGAATTTTATTCACGACTCTAATTCACCGAGCTTATGTGAGCCAAAACAAAACTGTACGGAAGTCTGCCGCGTATTTCTCATCGAGAGAATTTCCGGAAGATGTTTCTCAGTTAATTAGTCCGCCAACTGCGATTTGAAAGGTAAAAAAACCCAAACTCTGGCAAAAATGGACGTAAATAACAAAGCCATATTTAATCTGACTTCCCGGCAATTATCGACAAAGTATTACCGTAGTTCAGCGTCAACTGAAGCTTCTACTGCAAATGACTCCGCTAGTTATACGGCTGTTGCGTATTATTGTTCAATTTCGATCCCACAATAATTTGCCAATTTATTCGTGCATGCACACTGCAGCTCAGACGGACCGTCATAATAAATAATACACGCACATATAACTAACCCCTGGGATTTCTCATCGCTATTGCTGCTCGCAGACTGACCCTTGAACTGTACAATTAACTGAAAAAGAAAAACAGTCTGATCGCGATTTCTCATCGGGGTTTTTCCGTGGCTTGCCTGGTATTCGTTCAGGTAACACGTAGGCAACATTTAGAGACCAGCGTACTTGCCTCTACAATTAATGCATCAGTTAAACATAGTTGCGAAATACATCTGGGATCTGTAAAATTTCGAAACTGATTTCATCATTGGTACCTCTGTGGCATGATTTCGTAATATTGTTTCAACAAAATATACTATATTCGTTCAAGTCCCTTCAAAATTGTGTCGTACTCTCATTCGGATAAAGGCCTCTCTCGTGTCTGCACTTCTAACGAATAATCTGTTGTTGATATTTTTGTTTCGTCAATCCGTGAAACGATGGCTAATGCTGCTGCTAAACGAATGGAATTGCCTTGGCGTGAGCCCATGGATCCCAGGAAATTGGAGACATGGTATAACGAGAACATCCAACACGGGACCGAGGAGTTCGACAGAGATTGCCGTCGTGCCGTGGACGAGGTAGTAAGGTCAGTCCATAGAATGTGCTCCTCGAATGGTCTCCTGTTTGACGTGAGCAAGGTGATAAAGGTGAGCGTCTCTCGATTTTTTTTTTTGGTTTATACACGCACTAGTAAGCGAATAAACGTGTGTTTCGGAGGTATTAAAACTCTGTTTAAGACGGTTGGATGGGTAATAATTACCCGAGGCGAAGCCGGGGTAATTATCAACACTCCAGACTCCAACCGGTCTTAAACAGAGTGTTTAATACCGGCCAAGCACATATTCATTCCAATTCATCAATACATTTTCGGTCAAAAATATTGTCTGTCCAAAAATCAAAACAAGCCAAAAACTAGACGCTGCCAACCATTTTGTTCAACAATTTTTCTTCATGTTTTATGGAATGGCCCTCTACAACTCCTTAATAAAGAAATTGGCGTGCGCGTACGCAGCTGGGTGTAGTGTGAATTTCGGACTAAGAAATACTGATTTACTGGTAATATTGCGCGTGTCTATGTGAGGAATGTGAACGTTTAACCAATGAAACGTTATAGAAGGCACCGGGTTTCATGGGAGTCTAAATTTCATGTGACACTGGAAAAGGGTATAAGACCAGCCAGCCATGTCATTATCATCCGTTTAATATCGGCCACATGACGGGCTCTCGACCAATAGGAATGGGTAAACTGTATTCGGTATTTATGTATAACGTTTAATCATGCAATGTTAAGGTGCTTGTAGTGTTTTTTTAACTGATTACAGTAATATTTCCAGTCTTACGACCTGGAATTCTTTTCGCAAGATTTTTGCTGGTCTTAGAGGGGCCAGCATACTGTTTTCTTTGTACACTGTAAAACCTGATGTTTATGATCTAAACACATGAATAAACACCAAAACGTAACACTTTTTAAACATTTGGACGCGTTTTTAAATTAAACTCCATCTACAACATGAACACGTTTAAATTGAACAAGGACACGTGTTTAACAGTTAAACAGCACCAGTTTATTCTTTAAGCATGTTTTTATTGGAACATATGATGCGTTTATTTAAAAACGGTCGCTGTTTAAGAAGTAAATACTTATACATGTTTATCGGTATTTAAGATGTTAAGTTAAAAACTTACAAAGTGTTTAAATGGCGTTTAAATTGTGTTTAGGTGTTCAACCTATAAATGCATTGACGCGTTTACAGCCTGTAACACTTTTTAAACACAATAACGCGTTTATAAGTATTACCATGTTTAGGTTTTTAACATCCTAAAAAGTGTTTAAATGGCGTTTAGAGTGTGTTTAGGTGTTTAACCTATGTATGCACGTACGTGTTTACAGCCTGTAACAAATTTTAAACACAACAATGCGTTTATAAGTGCTGCTATGTTTAGGTTTTCAACATCCTAAAAAGAAGACGTTTAAGATCAACATATTTAATTGTTTTGAACGCACGTATTTGACTGCTCATTTCAAATTGGTTTTCCATTCGCATGTGCATACAAATGCTAAACCTCGTGAGAAATACAATTCATCTTGTAGCCTTTGACATGCCATGTTGGGCCTAGAATCAAGTTTGTCACAATGATTGGTGTTTGAAGAGAAAGTTATCCATGGTCGACGAAAACAAACCTACATGTACATGATAATATTGTACCTTGGAAGTTCAAACCCTTCTTACAATAATCACAAATCTGCCACTGAAATGTAAATTTCCAAACTACATTTTGTTTTGTTATTATAATAATTAACAGATATTTCTAATAACTAAAAGAAATGGCTTAAAACGTGCCTGCGACATCAACAAAATAGTTTGGTGTGTGAATTACCTCATTATTTCAAATTCACTCATCAATTTATATGCCGTTACATGTATTTACTTCTTGTGGTCAATTTACAGTACCATTATATCCAAAATGCACACGGAAAGACTTTTGCCAGCTAATCTTCCCCATAATGTCAAGATTGTCCAACGTGTGGTTTTCACAACATAAAAAGAGTTGTTCTCGTAAATATACAGTATGTATTCAGCTATAAAACAAAAAAATTAACCAACTTTATGAACGGTCTATTTGAAGTACGGTGGTGCAGTTTGAAGAAATCAATCGGCTGAAAGAACACTGCATGTACTCTCAGTCTGTCTTCGTAATCGTAATGATGCTCCGCCATAGAAGGTTGTCGCTGACTTGCACTGAAATGATGGACACAAACCAAAGATTGAAAGGAAAATTATGAGTGCAAATATTCTGTATTAAAGATGAGGAGCATACAAGAACTAATTTATCCATCATTTCATGACCAGTGTTATACTGATGATACACAATCATCTTCTTCAATGACTGGGGGAGGGGGACACGACTGTCTCCCACAACTCACTTTCCCCCATTTGGGGCCTACTAGTCCACTCCTACCCTATAGTTGGTGTGCAACATACTGTACAGCTTACTATATCATCATGTACATACTTTGGGGACTGCGCATATATGTAGGCCTAAACAAGTGTGTACATTTAAATATTAATTTCCATAGTAAATGTACAAAAATAATTTCATTATGATGATTGGAATTTATCCACACTAATAAGACTAATTCCATCACGTCCATGCTCTCCATGGACGATGGCTTACCTTGAAGCAGCACAACCAGTAGGATAGCCAGACCAACAGTTGTCTTTATGAAAATAGGCCGAGAACAATCTTGCTGGAGGAACTTAAATGGTCACACCAGTCATGCGCCAGTCAGCCTGAAAATGAAAACAAAGACAAATTGTATTAAAAATTGGATGACCGAATTCTTTGAAATCACCATAATTTTACTAAGTAGGCCTGCATAGCATGGATGGATGTTTGCAACGTACTGTACAAATAAAATATTTTATATGCAACATGTACCGGTACATGCAGATGTAAATGTACATGCACATGATGTACATGTATAATGACATGTATTGCACATGTACATGTACATGCACAGCACATGTGCATGCACAGCACATGTGCATGCACAGCACATGTGCATGCACATGTACATGTGCATGCACAGCACATGTGCATGCACAGCACATGTGCATGCACAGCACATGTGCATGCACAGCACATGTGCATGCACAGCACATGTGCATGCACAGCACATGTGCATGCACAGCACATGTGCATGCACAACAGTTTAATGTACAGTGTACATGTAAATAATTATGTACCGTACATGCACATGTACATGGACATAGTGCCAATCTAAATACAGCGCTAGTGCTAGTTTTTGGGCAGTTTTAGGGCGAGATTTTGATCAGAAACCAAGTGGTCCCGAAAATGTTAGGCCTATCTAGTGATTTCCAAGACGGAACATATAGAACTATGATCCGAGAAACAACCTTTAAAATGTCTAAACTGACCTAACTATTTTAATCGCTCCCGATAAACAAGGCACATAATAAACTGCATGCATTGACCATCCATATGTTAACTGCGTATAAACTAATGTTATTCCGCGGTGACGAAACCTGCACAGCCACACGAACTTTGCACGGATAATTTCTCATATTTCGACGGTACAGAAAAACCTCAACGACTCGGAAGTTTCCACTTCACAAAAACTACGTATTATTCTATAATGGATACAAGAAACGTACTTACATTGTTCGAACAGGCTGTTTTTGGTTCGCGAAACATCGGTCACCGAGCAACAAAGATGGCGGACATAACGAGGTTTGAAACTGCATGTTAGCGCGCCGCGGGGGGGGGGGGCTGTCACAATGCGCATGTGTGTAAGTATTGCAGGACGTTCAAATAATAAACACGACGAGCTCTAAACGCATCCCATCAATAAACACAGGTACACAGTGTTTAGGTTTAAAACCATGAATTTCATAAACGCATCATCTTTATTCACGGTGATTAATGTTTTGTGCTTAAAGCTATAGTCCATCATTTGTAATTAGTGCATTTTGTTCGTTTGAAGCAACTAAAGTGTTCAAAATCTAATGAAGGATACTGAACAACTTACTTGATGAAGTTTCAGCTCAGCTTCAGCTTATTCCGAAAAAAACAGGTTTCTAGGATCTCAATTTAAAATCAAAAGTTGCTAAATCATGTTTCGAATTGTTTTGAATTGCAGCTTTACGCGAGGTTGCGCACTGATCCAACGAATTATAGCAACCGCGCGCGCCTGTGCGTCGTTCCAATGCTAGTGCGCGCTGCGCCGAATAACAAAACGAACAACTAATTTAAATTTTCCTACGGTGCTTCTTAAGAAGCACCGTTGGAAATGCCTTCTTTCGTTGATTTCTTCAAAATGAGAGCTTGCCAGAAAGGATAATTTCACAGGGAGTTTAGTCCCCTTACTATCTTTCAACCAGTATGTTTTTCAACAATAACTACGCCGGCTACTTTTTTGGATAGCTGCAAATGATGGACTTGGGCTTTAAACACAACCATCCCTTTAAACGCATTCAGTTGATGAACACAGTATCTAAAACAAAGTGTTTCATTTAAAAACGCATTTATTTCACATTATTCAATTTATAAGGTTTAAACACTAGTGCGTTTATTCTGTTATATATGTTCTGTGATTACACATGATATAGGTGTTTAATCAGTAAAACGCCTTGATTACACATCATTTTATTTATAGACGCGTTACGTTTATTCAGTGATAGATGTTCTGTGAATAGACACAACCAGCTCTTTAAACACATAAACACGTACCAGATCTCACACAAAGTGTTTAATTTTTAAACACATGAATGTCAGATTATTCAATTTATAAACGCGTTACGTTTAGTTCACGGTGATAGATGTTCTGTGATTAAACTCAACCAGCCCTTTAATCACATAAACACACACGCTCACACAAAGTATTTAACTTTTAAACGCATTCATGTCAGATTATTCAATTTATAAACGCGTTAAGAGTCATTTCGTGTAAATACTTTATATACATGTACTTCATATACGCTCGAAAAATCGAATTTTTTAATACTTTGTTGGATGAAAGGACTTTGGGAGTAACTAACTAAATTTTGAGGCTGCAAAAAATCATTTTTTGCGTTATTTTCAAAGGTCATCAAGCCAAACTGCAAAGTAATGTCACAAAAGTAAC